TTTTTTTTTACACTGGCACCTATTTGTAGCACAATTTTTGGTACAGGTGCACCGTATAAAACCTTGTCCTGTCCCAACTGAATGTTTGGTAGCTGCAGTCCTTAGTGAGATTTGAACATCTTGATTAACATCACTTTCTTGTAGAAATTTTTGAGTACAAATGTCGAATTCAGTTCTGTAATAAACAAATATTTTATTTTGACCAAATTACATAACATACTCATGCTTTTTAGACCAAACAAAACAGCGTTTAACATTGCGCTTTTTTTCTTCGAAGATCTTTATCAGGCCTTCATTATAAGTAAATATTATACTAAAACCCTATCTGAAAAAATTCATAAAACTTGAAAACCTTTTCCAAATTTAAAAACAATAATCATCGAAATCAGTTCAGATTTGACAGTGAAATAGAGTAACATGATCATTAAAAAATAATTTCTTTTCTGAAGTAATTTGAGAAAAAAATAAATAAAATGCGTAACTAACCTGCAATAGAGTGTCTGCAATATTCCATGCTTAGTTCCAATTTTGTACAGGCCATCATTGTTTATTTCAAGAACAACGCCAATAACATTTCTTAGGTCGCCCCTTCCTCTGTCTACATCAGGAATCGGCACAGTCACATTATCTCCCACTTTAGCTGGTGGATGCGATTTGTCAGAAGCAGATTTCATTTTTTTTGCTTGTTTCTGAAGGTTTTCAGCGGCTGTTTGTCTTGCCTTTTGGATATCATCACCAATTTTAGAAGTTTCGATATCATTACAATCACTATCATCTCCTGAATTATTGTGATCATTTGTATGTCTATGGTTTAAATCAGTTTCAATAAGTTTTTGAACGTCATCTTCATCTTGAATATCCTTTATTATTTCTGGTGGTAGTGATGTCGTTGAAAGACCAACTCTGGGTTTAACTCCAAACATAGCTTTGTAAGGCAATTGTTTTATGCCCGAATGATAGGCCCTATTTTTCACAAATTGTACATATCTCAATCCTTCTGACCATTTAGTCGAGTGATTATCTTTTAGCCAACAACTGATCATGTTCTCGACGTCTTGGTTGGCTCTCTCGACAGAGCCCTGACTTTGGCTGTGCCGTGGTTTTCCATGCACTAGCTTAAGTTCTGGCCAAAGACTCGTCATTTCACATATAATACGATTGACGAATTCTCTTTCATTGTCTGACTGCAAAATACACGGGGCACCTATTGTCAAAAATATATCATTCAAATGGTAGGCTACTTCTTCAGCTCGTTTAGATTCCAAAGCACGAAGCAAAATAAACTTGGCCAAGTGGTCTTGGTAGACCATGATAAATTTAAACTTTCCATCAGGTTGAGTCTGAAAATCAATGAGATCCACTTGGCACCTACTGTTCATTTCAGAATGTAAAATTGGCTTAGAAACTAAGCCTCTTTTTNAGCACAAAATATGTTATAAGTGGTTTTTTCAGGGTGCCGAGTTTAAATATTTGGTCCATTTTTTACGAAATTAGATTCGTTAGCAGATTACCACATGATATTCGTCTGTGAATGGAACAGTTTGTTAGAGCTAATATTAGAGAACAATATGATACCTTAAAAAATTTAATTTATCATATTTTTAATTACTGTCTGGTTGACTAATAAACTGTGCCATTTCATACCATTTGAGTATTGCTATAAATATGACAATAGTAGGCTGAAATAACTAAACTCTTTATATGTTTTTTTGTTTTAATATTTGTTATATCATAGTATTTGATTTATATAACTACAAAAGTTATCTTACGTAAATGTTTATCACGCTGAGTGACCATTCTAACACATTTTATAAATTTTCTTCCACTACTGTACACAATTTAAAGAATTTTTAAAATGCGTTACATTGGTCACTTGGTGTGATAAACACTTATGTAAGATAACCTTTGTAGTTATATAAATCATATACTAGTGCGGCATTGGTTTTGATCTAGTGGGGCAAATGACCTGTTTGCCGTCCAGCAGATGCCTGTGTGTGAAAGAAATCATTTAATGTTAAATTTTATATTGACATATGTGTATTATACAAAAGTATTTCTAATAAATGTAAATGTAACCTATGGATAAAACTAAATACAATATTATATTTAGTTATTGAATTTATTTCTTTTAGAGTGAAATTTTCTCTCTTGGCAAACTTTGTCACAGAGGAAATATATTGATTTCACTCTTTGTATATTTACGTACGTAGGTTTAATTAAATAAGTGAAATATTAAATATATCTGAATGTAACTTACGTCTAAAAGGTAATTCCTGATTATTTTAAATCAGTTATTAAATAAAATTAGAAATATTTTTTTTTAAATCATTTAATTAAAAAATATAAAGTTATTTTTAAAATACTTTTTATGTATATTTGATTAAATGATTATTTTATATTTTTAATTTAAATGTTTTTACTAATTTGTTTTTTTTTAATGATTTGTGTAAATGTTTTAGCTCTGTTCGAAGAATTTTGTTAATTGTAAATAATTAAAGTACTGTAATTCAGTGAAAAATATGACTATACAAACTAAGTTTCAGTCCTTCTGTCTATTTATATCCTTTTCATTCCAGTCGAGTAACTACAAAACAGTCGGCGACTTTAAGAAAAAACCTTCTAAAAATAAGACAAATACAATTGAAAAAACCTCAAACACAATTAAAAATGATCTAGACGTCAACCTTTTCTTGTGGGCTACGACGTCTACAAACATTAAAAATCGGTAAAATTTTTTCCGACAGCATTCATGTTATGTAATCGCATTTAAGCCAAGAGTCCTCTGGGGGATTTTCGGGCGGCTTAGAATTATTTGCATAATTGTACATAAAAGCCCAGGATTATTTTGACTTATTTCAAATGTAAATGTTGTAGAAGTTAGTTTGTATCCATGTTGTACTTAAGTATAGTCCACTTTGTCTGTATTGCATTCCACATTTCATATTTTTCCCTAATTTCTACATAGGGGATTTGGAAGAAGCTAAAATGTATTTCTTCAGAAGTATGCTAGTTTGATTACATGATCAACAAATCAATTGTATAAATTTATATAGTATATACAGAAACCATTCTACTCTCAGCACCGGGATGAAATCTACACTACACTATCCGGAACCTGTAACCGGTGCGCGACGCGTATATACTGTATATCGCTGTTGACAAACATTTTCGAGCAATCTCTTTGCTCTTCTTCAGGTTGACTGGAATTCCCTGGACGGAGTATATTCTATTTGTTGGGATCGGGTGTCAATTCTGACGGAGTGGGTCCTTTCTGCAATATACAGTATATACACATCGTGCACCGGTTACAGGTTCCGGATAGTGTTTTATATAGTATAAATTATCAAATTCCTATCCACTGTATTATTATTTAGTAAAAAAACAAAAAAAAAAGAATTTAATGATTTCTCTTGCAATACCCAAGGTTTTCTCATTTTGAGTTGTGAATTTTTCTATCACAAGATAGCATTTTATGTTACAATCCTAAATTAAAACTTCATTTTTGAATATGTTACATTATAATTTAATTTATACCATTATTATGATTTTCGTGAACTTTAAAAACCCAAATTTGAGTTCTGAAAAACTCACAAAAGATCTTTTGTTAAACTAGTATATGACTGTTTTTGAATTCGTCATATCATGTGATGGAATAATTCATGTGCTCAACTATCAGAGAAGATTGAATTTATATGCATTCTTTGCATAACAGATTGTCATTGCCAATGAATTGTTGATTGTATTCAGAAAGAAAGTATTATTATGTGTTGCAAATTTGTGCAAATGTTATTTAGAATAAGAATTTTCATGCTGCTCACTCTTAAGAGAATAGAATTTAAGCCAATGATTTATTCAAAGACATGTACGATGCAGCTATTCTGTTAATCAATGAAATGTTTGGAAGTTTCCTATGATCTGTATAAACCAGTGATGGGCAAACTACGGCCCGCGGGCCAGATGCGGCCCCCTGAAATGTTCTATCCGGCCCGCGCAACATTATTCCTAATCTGACGAGTAAAAAAGAATACAGGCTGTGGTGGTTGATGCACCACTTAACTTGAGTGTTCGTTGATTATACAAAATAACCGAAGCTTTATATCTCACCATGAAAGTTTATTTACAATCATGTACAAAATTTTGTTTTACACTTATTGAGTAAAAGCTCGATCAGTTACAAGTATGCTTCGGTACAGAACATCCACTCGTCGTGCGTAGCGTAGCCGAAAGAGAGAAAAAGAAATATGGCGGACGGCCTGCA